CCAACTGACCAGGATCCTATTGCCCCCTCCAGATACCAGGATAAAGACTAGTTCCTTGAAGCCAAAGAAAGTCCAAGGCACAGACCACATCAGAGTCATAGAGTCTACCTACTCCAGTCCAATGTCTCCAACCTTCTCTCCACACCAGCATCCCCATTGCCTCCTTGTTGATTCACTCTAATTTACTCTTATGTGGCTCTGAGGTCTCTGCTAATCCAGTGGATAACTCAGAGTCTCATCTTCCTTGACCTCTTGGATATCTCACTCTCTTTGTTTTCCTCCTTCTCCTGCTGCTCCTTCTCCATATCCTTTATGCTAACTATTCCCTTGTTTATCCCTTATATGTTGGGGTTTCTGGCCCCTGTTGCCTAGATCTTGCCAGGCTGGGCAGAGCAGGGCAGAGTAGGGCAGGTCCCCATTCACTCTCCTTGAGTACTCCTGTCCACACCCATGGTTTCAATAACCATCTGTTAAGTATGTCAAATATCCATGTCCAACTCAGACCTGAGCTGCAACCCTCCTGTATAGAATTGCCTTTGATACACCCCTCAGATACTTATACCAGAGAGTTGGGCATCTCTAAGACCTATGTCTGCCTTGCCCCTTCTTATATACCTCAGTCACCATCTGAAAGCTTTGTCCTTTGTCCACTTCTCCTGGTCTCCAGGATTCACACCTCATTGCTCAGCTTCCTCAAACATACCCAATGCAGTCTGTTATTGGTTTCTGAGCAATAGCTGGTTTCAATACCTCTGGGCCTTCTTGTATGTTTTACAGCCCTTCACCTCCACCCATTTAGTGCTAATTTCCAGCCTCAGGTATTTCCCCCAGGAAGCCTTCTCTGACTAGGCTAGGTTCAAGCCCTTATTATGGACTCCCATAGTTCCTGTGCTAAGTCCAGACATACCTTGACCTGAGATACTCAGGGGCAGAGACCCCAGCACTCAATAGGAATAAATGTTTGTGGAATAAATAAGGACTGCTTGGGGTAGACTCTCTGCTCTGTCACTTTTCTCTTTTATATTCCTGGGCCCTCTGCTTTTTTTCAGTTCCCCAGCAAACAGAGGCTGCTCAATTCCTGCCCATATTAAGTGATCTTAGGCAAACCTCTTCACCTCCCTACCTATATATTCCCTTCCCCAATACCTATAAAAAGGGGAGAATCAGTTACCCTGCTCTGTCCTAATCCTGGTCCCCTGCTGCACATCCATCCATGTACAATAGCCTGACTGTTACTGGAATCAGGTCTCAGCATTTAGAGAGCCTTTACATTCCACTCATAATGAGAAACTCAGGACAGGCTATGCATAGCAGTCTCCAATCCCCAAGCTAGGAGGACTCTGCTTGGGTTGTGACTCACTCTTGTAGGGAACCTCAAAGTACCCATAACCCCCATACTTACAGAGATGAGTACACTGAAGAAAATGATATGATCTTAAGAAAGCTGAAGCACTGCATGGTGGCTCCTAGGAGGCAGATGTGTGTGAGTTGGGGCCTCAGCCCCGTTCCCCGCATCTGAACTGACATCTGAACCCTGAAATGCCAGACCCTGCATCCTGGACCCATATCTTCTATAGCTTTCTATACCTGGACTCTGACCCCCTCAGGACTTCCCTCAACCTCAATCTTGACACCCATACCTCTCTATACTACCTAGGTCCTCTGCCAGCATCTGACACACCGAGATCCCAATATTCCTTCACAGGCATCTAACCCCAGACTCCAAGTCTCTCCATGCCCTTCACTGGCACTTGTGTACCTTAGACCATGCTCCAAACCAACACCAGGCCCTTCTAAGACCCTCCCTATAGTCCTTCCAGCTCCCTAAACCTATTTCCAGGTTGATTTTTCCTCATAGGATAATTCCTATCCTATGCCATCACCTGTTCAGGGATCTTGGCAGCTTGAGTTCTGGAAGAGGGATCAGCTAAGGCTGTGAAGGGGATAAACAACTTCAATGAGCTACCACTGAGAGGCCAAGCAGAGGGACAATGCTGGTCTTCACAGACTGCTCACCAACAGGCAGGATAGGCCCTTTAAAACCCTCCTTCAGTCCACCCCTGCTTCACTGCAGCCTGTAAGCCTTCTCTGCTCCTGCTGCCCCTGTTGTTGTTGTTGTTGTTGTTAAGTGCCATTGAGTTGGTTCTGACTCATAGTGACCATGTATATATAGGGTTTCCGAAGAGCTGCCTAGAAATCTGTTCCCATAGCCATAGTTGCAGCCTGTCTCCACCTGGCAAAGCCAACCATGGGCAACATCCCTCCTAGTCTTTGAAATGAGGGAGGCCTGAGAGTGGAGCTTCTGTGTGCCCTCCACCACAATAGTGCACATATGCTTCTTACTCTACATCTGCTAATACATTCATAATACTCCATGTGCTCATAGACACACATCTGCTCAAACTGCCATCCATATATTCACACATCAGATACACAGATACATACTTAAACACCTACTAGTAGTGCATAGACACACACACACAGACTCTTTGTGGACTGACTCTCAGCAACAAAGGAACAACAGAACAAATGTTTTTTTTTTCTCTCTCTCCCTCTCATACATACATTTTCAAGGAAAAACTAAGGTTTGGGTGTCTCTGTTCCCTCTTCTGAGTAACAAACACTTCATCCCTCCACAAAACCCCAAGTCCCCCATTTTTATCATCCTTTCATTTTTCTTCCTCTTCTCTTTTCTTCGCTCCCCACCTCTCCAGGCTATTATCTTGCTCGGTACATCCCTTCACTTTCTGCCAGCAGGTGGCATCATAGTCCAACAAAGGAGACATTCCCCAACTCAGACTGTGTGTATTCTTCCTCTTCATTCATCCTTCGGGTCCTGCCTGTCTCACTTCCACTCCAGTACTCTGTTTTCTTTTCACTCCACCAAGCTTGATGTAAAGGTAATAGGAAAGTTTTGGCTTTAGAAGCATTCAGAACAGGTGCTCAAATCCTGGTTCTGACATTTGTTAGCTATATGACCCTTGGGATGATTTTTAGATTTGGTTTAAAGTCTCTGCTTCTTGGTCTGAATGACGGAATAGTTATGAAGTGTTAAAATATTTCCTATTCACTCTGGGACTGACCACAGATTGAGAAGGTCAGAGAAGAGAATCATAGCCAGAGGAAGTATGGGGGTAGAGGAAGCAGGATTTTGTTTTGTTTGTATATTTGCTTGTATAATGGGAGCAGGCAGCTAAAGGGTAAAGGGAGAGATGGGCTGGTAATACTAATATTTGTGCAGATGGTGTTTTAATTGCATTACATATACTCAGTCCTTTTTTTTCCTATGAGAAAGTTTCTTTTTTTAATCTTCATTTTAAATATTAGAAAATAGAAACACAGAAAGGTTAAGTAACTTGCTATCACATAGCTTGTAAATGACAAGGGTTCAACCCAAGCCCAGAGTCGTAACTACCAAATGTCCACACGGATGGAATCTCTAAGGAAGCCAGAGGGACTAGCTTCCAGAAAGAGCTGGGAAGTCTTGGTCAAGGACCTGAGGAAGCAGAGCGGCAGGGGCAAGTGAGCTTATAGGTATGGTGGCTAGAGTACCCAGGGTGACAGACGTAAAGGTTAGAGTGGGGAGGAGGAGTGCAGTTAAATGGAGGTCATGCTAAGGCCCCCCTAGTCTTCCAGCAAGCTCTTGAAATAACTAAGAGAAAGTAGAGTCTGGGATGGGAGCCTTTAAGTGGGGTGATAGAGGAAGGGAGAAGGGACTGAGGTGCAAAAGGGGAAGGGGCAATTCCAAAGTCTCACAATTCAGTGCAAAGTTAAGTAGAGTCACTAATTCTCTGCCTCCAACAAGAAAGGAGATGAATCCATTTGTCATCTATTACATCCCCAGGAGATATACGTGTGTCTTCATTGACTGTCCAATGTGGATTTCTCTTCCACCTCAGGAAGAACTGAATTTAGGTCACATTCATCTATGACCTAGTGTCCAGCAGAGATGACGTTTTCAGTGAACATTTTCTAAATGAGTGTATGATTAAATGCAGAATAAACAAAAAACCCACTGCCATTGGGTTTGAAGGTGAAGGAAGGGGTCATAAAACAGAGAAATTTTTGCATTGTTGTAAGTCACATAAAAGCAAAACCCAAACCCACTACCATCAATTAAATTTGATTCTGATTCACAGTTGGACACTTTGGGAACTGCTCCATAGAATTTCCCAGGTCACAAATTTTTATGGGAGTAGACTGCCTCGTGGTTCTCCCATGGAGTGACTGTTGAGTTCGAACCAGCAGTCCAGTACTTACCCCACTGTGCCACCAGGGGGCCCTTAAATACAGCAGAGAGTTTAATGCTCCAGTTAAATGCTCTCCTGAATTTGAACCTGTCTGCCACGATGGCACTTCAAGATGAAGTGTCATATATAAAAGGCACTTACTTACATATAAAACAGTTTCCTTATATGTATATATAGGGATAATGATAGAATCTCTTTGGAAGGTTGTTATAAAATTAAATGTTGTAAAGTGTTCAGCACAGTGTCTAGCATATAGTAAGTATTCGCTGAAGAAGGATATTATGCTTGGTAAGGTGGAGGGTCAGAGAAAAAGAGGAAGACCCCCAACGAGATGGATTGGCCAAGTGGCAGCATAGATGGACTCAAGCGTGGTAACAGTAGTGAGATTGGCCCAGGATCCGAAAGTGTTTCGTTCTGCTGTGCATAAGGTCGCTATGAGTTGGCACGAACTCGATGGCACCTAACAACAACAACAACAATAAACATTCTTTATGTGTTTATGTGGATGAGGAACTGATTTTTCTCCAACTCAGAGCTATTTTTCCCAAGGGGAAAAGCTGGCTCTTGGACTAGACCCATGGAGAGGATTGTGAGGGAGCCTGACTCAGGGGGCGGGGCTGGGGGTCAAGTCCTGTAATAAAGGTCAGCTTCCTCACAATCCTCTGTTATGTAGACGCCCTATGTCATAGAGATTTCAACTGCCCTGACCAGCAGCGCCCCTCAGGCACACTATATCAGCTTCCTGTACTTATGGGTCCCTCTCATCTTGTCCGTGCCCCTCGGCCCCGGGGTCTGAGTTCTCCCTACCGCAGACCAGGTATGGGCCGGCGCCGGTCCCGGTTCCCTAGGATGTTCAAATGCAGTCGCAGAAGGTATCAGCATAAAAACCAAAGCACAGCTGCCACCACTGCAGCCACCAATCTTGCTACCATGTCTGATATCAATACCAACACCCACACTGCCACTGCCAGTGTGTGGATTCTCCCACCGCGAGGTTAGTGTGGGAGGGGGTAGTCTTGGGGCTGGGGAAGGGGCTGGAAAAAGAGAGTTGCTGAAGGCAACCTCTAGAGAACAAATTCTGTGAAATGCTTCCCTAAGGTATTCCCACTGCCATAGAGTGCAGTCTTACTCGGAGTGATGCTATATAGAGCAGAGTAGAACTTCTCCTTAGAGTTGCCAAGACTGTAAATCTTTGCTGTTGTTAAGTGCCATTGAGTCGTTCCTACTCATAGCCACCCTGTCTGTATAGGTTTCTAAGGAGCAGCTCGTAGATTTGAACTGTCTATGTTGAGGTTAGCAGTCCAGTGCTTATCCTACAGCGTCACACCAGTAAATCTTTACAGGAGCCGTAGAACGCTGCAGAATAGAGAAGCACTGCTCCTTTGGATTTCTGAGACTGAAAATCTTTACAAGAGTGAAAAGCGTCATCCTTCTCCTGCGGAGCAACTGGTGGATTTGAATCACTGACTTTGTGGTTAGCAGTTCAATGCTTAACCCACTGTGCTACCAGGGCTCCTTTCCCCAAAGGAATGACTGGATCTTAATGGCAGGCATCACAGAGGCTGAGAGCTGTAATGGAAGATAGAAAGGCTAGAAGCAGAGGGTTTAGGGAGGTGGGTAAATCTAAGTGGTAGTAAAGCTTCCAAAGCTGCTGCCTTCCTCACAATCTTTCCTCTTATTCTTCTCAGTTCTTAGGCACCTCTGTCAACCTGGGAGTTTTCTGATCCTCTAGAAATGCAAGAAACTTAACTTGCTCTGGACCTGCTTCTCTCAGGGGCCATGGATGATGAACAACTGAACAAGGGACAAATACAGGCATTTCTGCTACAACTGCCTTACTCCACCCTGAAGTGTTTTCATTTGGCTATGTGGCTATGTGAGGGCAGGGTTGGGGCTGAATACCATCAGGGAATGACTTCAGTGACAACAGCAGGGATCACAGTACAAGGATAAGAAACACATCATGTATCTTTGGCATCAGCACTTGATTTGTCCTATAACATAGGGTAAGAATAGTGGTTACGAATCGGGCTGTGAATCGCAAGGTCAGCAGTTCGAAACTACCAGCTATTCCACAGGAGAAAGATGAGGCTTTCTGCTCCTGTAAAGATTTATAGACTTGGAAACCCTGTATAGGGTCTCTGTATAGGGTCCATGGCACATAACCACCACCACCATAACATAAGGTGCTTTCCTGCCTTGCACAAGGAGAAAGATCTCCTTAGACATCAAGGTATGGGAGCCATGTCCTGGAGGAGGGACTCGTAGACACATAGCAGAGAGTGGCAGGATGAAACTATGACTTTACTGATCCAGGGTGTGAGTGTAAGGTATCTATCTATTCCTCTGTGTGCCTGTGATGGTCAATGTGTAGGTGTTGTTGTGGTTAGGTCACGTCAAGTCAGCACTGACTCATAGCGATCCTGTGTGCAGCAGAACAAAGCACTGCTCAGTTCTGCACCAACCTCACAATCGTTGTTACACCTAAGCCCATTGCTGCTGCCACTTTGCCAACCCATCTCATTGGGGGTCTTCCTCTTTTCTATGACCCTCCACCATACTAAACATGAATGCTATCCTTCTCCAGCAACTGGTCCCTCCTGACAATATGTCCCAAGTATGAGAGACGAAGTTTGGCCATTCTGGCCTCCAAGGAGCACTCTGGCTGCACTTCTTCCAATACAGATCTGTTTGTTCTTTTGGCAGTCCATGGCACTTTTAATATTCTCCTCCAACACCATAGCTCAAAAGCATCAATTCTTCTACGGTCTTCCTTATTTGCATGCATATGAGGTTATTGAAAATACCATGGCTTGGGTCAGTCTTATCTTAGTTCTTAAGCTGACATCTTTGTTCTTCAACACTTTAAAAAGGTCTTGTGCAGCAGATTTGCCTAATGCAATACGTCATTTGATTTCTTGACTGCTCTTCCATGAGTACTGATGGTTGACACAAGCAAAATGAAATCTTTCACAACTTCAATCTTCTTTCCATTTTATATGAATGTTATTTGTCCAATGGTGAGGACTTTTGTTTTCTTTACAATGAGATGCAACCCATACCGAAGGCTGTGGTCTTCCATGTGTAGGTAGGTGTAGTCAAAGGTAGGTGTGTATGCCATACAGTGTGTTATGTGAGACCACAAGAATAGGAGTAGAAACTGACTGCCAAAGCCAAACCCATTGCTGTCAAGACAATTCTGATTTGCAGTAACCCTACAGGGCAAAATAGAACTACCCCATAGAGTTTCCAAAGGAACGCTGGTAGTGTAATAGTTAAAAGTCTGACTGATAGCCTCAAGGTCATTACTTCAAAACTACCAGACATTCCAAGGGCGAAAGATGAGGCTTTCTGCTCCAGTAAAGATTTACAGCCTTGGAAACCCCATGCAGGGTTGCTATGAGTCGGTCAGAACCGACTCCACAACACACAACCATCATCACCATCTGGGTTTTCAAGGCTGTAAATTCACCTAGAAGTTGACACTTCTTTCTCCCTCAAAATGGCTGCTGCATTCAAATTGCTGACCTTTTGGTTAGCAGTCAAGCACTTAATCACTGTGCCACCAGGGCTCTGAGAGGGCACTGGCCTGATGAGAGAACTGAAGGTCAGGAGGAGAATGGGAAACAGCCTGAAGGAGGGGAGGATGGGGAAAGGCTGGCCTTTGAGGAGGGTGTCTCACCTTCTGTCCCTTAGGCCATTTCCTGGGGCAGTTTCTCAAAGCTGGCAACTGAACTCCCTCTCTTGGGGGCAGGGCAAGACTAAGATTGAGCAGAGAAAGTCGGGAGGGTGTTGAACTCTTCAGCCTGGGGATTTTCCATTTGGATTTCTGAATGTGTGCCCATGTGTCATCGGGTGTAACTGGGTTTCTATTGGGTGTGTCTTTATGGAGTTGTGTTTTGGTGGCTGAGAACATTGTGTGGAACTCTCTCTAATGTGTGGCTTTGTGCAAGGGTTAGTGCCTGTTTCAAAGCCTCAAGAATTGACTCTGCTTCTAGGGCTCCCTTCCCTAAGGGCTGGCGTTGGGAGTAAACCCTGAGACTTTGGGCCTGGCCCCTGGGTTTAGGAAGCCTAGTTAATGTCTTTTGTTGCCGGTGAAGGAAAAATGAATTGTCTGTGTCCATCCACTCGTTTGTCAGAGAATGGGACCTTGAGGGGGGAAGGTGGGGAGACAGGGGTAGAGAATTCACTGACACTTCATGTCCAGTCAGTGATAACTGGCTCCTCAGGGTATGGGGAAGGGTGGAACTTGAGTCACAGTTAGAAGGTGGGCTAGTGCCCAAGGCCCACAAGAAGGCCCACACAAATAAAAATACATGACAGTCCACAAACACATGCAGACATGTAAGCATAAGTGGACCCACAAACACACAATGCAATAAACATAAGCATGGCATGCAGCTATGCACATAGCTCTCACATGATACAAGTAACACCATATAACATACCTACAAATGAACATGTAGACATATGCAATACAAACGTGTACACAAGCATGTATCTGCAGACACATGCAATCACACTCATGCAAATCTGGGCACACACAGACACACACTCACCAGACTTCCCTTCCCCCTTGGCCCTGGGACCCAGAAGCCTTCCTCCCTATGAGTGCATGTGCATACCCAAGCTTGTGTCCTCTGTGTGTATCTGTGTCTGTTGTGAAGGGGGTGCTGAGCTGTGGGAACCCGATGACATCATCGCTTCTGGCTATTTTTAGATCCATCTGCAATGACGGCTCCTCCACTGCCCCTCCCCCTCCGGGTTTGCAACCTCCTCCCCCTCTAGGTTCCAAGAGGCAGCTGCAGCCAGAGAGCACCCACCACCCCACTCCAGATGACCCTGGATGACAGGGTAAACTTCACTCTCCTACAGCCTGGAGGCTGAGAACAACAGGGTTCCAAGCCAGATAAGCGGACCTGGACCTGGACCTGGGGGCCCGAGTTAGGTGAGCTAGTCTGGCTTGTATCCTGGCATCCGGTGTCAAGAATGTCTCAGCTTCCCGCTTTTCAATTTGAAGCTCTGCCTCAGTCTCCTTATTCACTCATTCATTTTACAAATAATGAGTACCTGCTATGAATCAGGGGGTGTGCTCAATTTTGGAGATACAAAAGTGAACAAGACAGTGGGAGTGTCACTCGTGAAATTATGAGGGACAGACATGAAATTGATAAATCACACAGGCACTTCATTGTATTGTGGCCAGGGCTTGCAACAGGGGACCAAAGTCTACAAGGTTCTCAATCTCTTTCTCTGCTCTTCCTTCTCCCGTTAGGTAAGTTGTAAGCTGAGGAAACCAGACGTGGCACATCTTTTTGGACCCTTCACCCTAACCACCACGTTAACAGAAATCCGCAGAGTAGCGCTTTCTTTTCACACTCTAGGCTTTGTTTTCAACACTAACCCACTATCCCACTGTGATGACGTAGCTTGCTGCTATTCACATCCCTTGGGAGACACGACATTGTGTCCGATCTATGTATGAGAAAACTGAGGCCCAAAGAGGTGGTGGTGGTTGTCAATCCTGTATAGTGTTTCCGATGCTGTAAATCTTTACCAGAGCAGAAAACCTTCAACTGCTGATCTTGCGGTGAGCAGCCCAACTCAAAACCCATTACGCTATTCCAACCTCATGGTATCCAAGAAGCAACGCAGGATGGCAGGAGGGCACTGAGACCACTGGCCACAGGTACAGCGGAGCAGGCTAAGCAGAGAGGGAGGGGATCAGGTGAGAGGGAGGAGCACGGTGGCTCTAGGGGGCCTTGCCAGGAGGAAGGCTTCCAGTTCCAGCCAACTTGAGGCAGCCACCTGAAAATCGGGTTTGGTAGCTTCCGCGCAGTGGAGCTGGGGGGAGGGGTCTGGGCAGCTCCCTAAAGGCGGCTCGGGGCGGGTCCATTTTCCAGTTTAGAATCTGACCAAAGTTCCAGGTTGAGGAAACATTTTATAATACTGGCACCCTTTGGAGTATGTATGGGTGAACAGCTCTGAGCTGCA